GTGTTTTGCATGAAAAGCCTTTCAGTGCGACTGAGCCAGGACTCCATGGCTCTGGTTCAAAGATGCCCCGCGAGTTGCCGGGGCTCCGTGCTGAGCAAGTCGAGAGGAGGTGAGAAAGTCAAACAGACTGTCAACGCTGCCTCCCCTGAGCCCCAAAGTAGGGCGCTCCAAGGAGATGCTGTTTGTACAAGATTTGGGGTTTTGCACAAGACTGGAAGATGTGGCTCTGCAGATTCCTGAACTCCTACAGGATGATCCATTAGCAACCGCCCCACCCCACAAGGAGATGCGTCCCAGGGTGCGTCACCAGCCAGCAGCCCTCAGCCCCCCGTCCAGCGTGGGCTCCTCCTTCAGGAACACGTGCGCCTGCCCAGGCCCGCTTCCCTGTCCTCTCCTTCCCCTCACAGCCCGGCTCTCTGACAGCACGGCCCATCCTCCCAGCTGCCTCTGCGCCTGACCTCTCAGCCCGGCGTGACTGTCTCCACGTGGGCCCAAGGGACCTGCGATTGTGGGCAGCCCCTAGAGGTCCGCAGGGGTCAGGGACCAGACAGAGGGGACAGCTTTTGCCTCACCCTGCTTCACCCTCACGTCCTCACAACAGTTCTGTTGCTCTAAATCAAAAGAATGTGCTAGAATCCCTGAGTATCTGCCCCCCTGGGTTGAGACGTGGTTTAGGGGAAGAATCCTTTCCTCAGCCGAGCCGGGCAGCGTTACCTGCGCTAACTCAGTCCCACAGCAGCCCCGTCCGGCGGGAAGGAAATCTTCTTACCTCCATTTTCTAGACAAGGCAGCGGTGGCAGCGGAGAGGTTACTTGCCTGGGGTCACAGAGCTAGGAAGTGGTGCGGTGTCGCATATTTAAGCTTCTCTGCCTTTTGGGCACTTCCTGGTCCTCTCGTGGTTGAGCAGGGCCAGGTGACTAATTCTGCCTGGGGACTGTGAGTGGAGACAGCGGGTTTGCATCCGGGCTGAACATTTCACTGCTGGCAGGGGCACTTCCAGAGCCCCGTTCTCCTCTGCCAGAGAGGCCACCGTGGCTGTCCCCGCAGCCTGGGTTCCGGAGCGAGCAGGTGTGGTCAGAGCACCCAGATGTCTAACTCCCAGACACCCCAGGTGTCTAGAAAGACAAAGGTCTTTGTTCTCAAGGTCCTGGGAAAGAACACCCTGCCAGGCTGTGCACTGTGGCTGTCCGCCCGGTGTCTGTCTCTGTCCAGAGGGGGTTTCAAGTTGTACCCTTGTACGGAAATCCACAGGAGACGCCCCTCACCCTGGGTCCCCTATCGCAGGCTGGTTCTCTCCTCAGTGCAGTCGTGTGCTGTGGAATGCCACCCCCTGCCTCAACTCGACCCATATTCTTTCTCCTCCTGTCCTGGAGGGCAAAGCAAGGCTGGCTGGCCCCTCCTGCTGTACGTGCAGACAGGAGAGAGCACGATGCTCGGCCCTCGGCCTGCTTCTAACTCAGAACCCTCCGTCCCGTGGGCCCGGCACCCTCTGCAGGCCTCCCCCGTCCATCTGCCCCGAGATGCGTCCACACGCTCTGCGTCCACACACAGCTGTCCCAGCCGGGTTGGGAGCCAAATAAAGGCAGCGTTCTCCCAACTTCACCATCACGCCTGCCTTTGAACCCTAATTGGTACTTCCCATCCCCGCTTACCTTAGTCAACAGATTGATTCTGGCTGCTTTTTATAAAGATGTTTCAGGCTTGAGAAAGGAGAGTTTACTATCAGCAGGGAAATGAAAAGAATGTGCTTCCAGGTCTGATGGCAGTTCCCACAGTAGAGTCCAGAAATATTTCTGAGCAGTGGCAGCCAGCACCGCAAGAAGGCATGTTGAGCCCTGCAGGGTGACTTGGGCAGAGCAGGGTGGTGGGGTGGCGGTGACACACTCAGACATGTGTCTGTGTGGCCATCCCTCTGCACGGCCCTTACCTCTCTCACCCCCTACCACTGGGTCACATGTGGCTGTGACTGTATGCTCATTTCCTACACAGACACGCGGCTTCCCCAAAAAGACCAGACAGTGAGGTTTCAGACTGCTTATTAATCCAGCATCCCCCAGGATGGCCTCACGCCGCAGGGTGGCCGGAATCCATTGGCAGCCACGGGGCAGTGACCACCTGAGGGACCTCTGGCTAGCACCAAATGACCAAGGCTGAAACCAAAAGGGCCACGCAGGGCCCAGTGCCCTAGGTGCTGAGCCATGTGCCTTCGCTGACGCAATGCACGGCAAGAGTTCACAGCTTTGGGGGAATTTATTGAGAGCAGGATTTGCTACCAAAAGGGTGCTGGGCTTCTGTCCGCCATTGGCAGGTGTCACAGCTGGTGGTCTCCTTATTGCCATCAGTTGGTTGGCCAGACCGCAACAACCACGATAGCCACGAGCAGCAATAAAATCACCATGATCATCCCTGAAAAACAGAGCAGAAGATACCTCTTTTAGTGATTCCTGCCAGAAAGGCGTCACCTGCCCCAAGGAGCATCTGCAGAGGACAGCGCCACGCCCGCCCCCTCTGCGCCTGCGGCCGTGCTCCGGGGTGGGGGGTCAGTCAGCGGCCTGGGGCTGCAGCACAACTCTGGCTCTGTAGGCTGGGCTGCAGAGGGCAAGGGCTCCGGGAAACTGGAAATAGCCCTCACGCCCGAGTGCTGTGCCCAGGCTCCTGACCGCAAGAGGGGGACCGGCGGGGGGCGGGGGGCGGGGGGGTGCATGCTATGGCGCTGGCTCTAGCGCCTGCGTCAGCTTGGACCATGGGGCGGGGGAAGCTGCTGGCGACGGCCCACCCTGGATACCCAACTGAATTACACATTGATAGAGCACCAATAAAGCAAACAGCTTAAGAGTTTAATTCTAGAATCCATTTTTCTCTACTATGCGCATGGCTTCACCTTGCTTCTTTGAGTCTAAGACACTTGGGTCACCCATCTGTAAAAATCCCCTTGATAGAGGGACTATTTTCCCATATATGAAAAACATATATATATAAAATATATGTATGCTTAATATGACCCCTATTTGTGGGACAGTTCAGTTTTGTACTTTAAAAATTTTTTTTTTCTTTTTAAAGAGATGGTCTCACTCTGTCACCCAGGCTGGAGTACATTGGTGGGATCACAGCTCGCTATAGTATCGAACTCTTGCACTCAAACATCCTCCTGCCTCAGCTTCCCAAGTAGCTGGGACTACAGGTGTGAGCCACCATGCCTGGCTAATTATTTTATTTTTATGTTTTTGTAGAGATAGGGTCTTGCTATGTTGCCCAGGCTGGTCTTAAACTCCTGGCTTCACGCTATCCTCCTGCTTTAGCCTCCCAACATGCTGGGATTACAGGCATGAGCTGGCCCATTCATTCACCTGATGCTGATGAAGTGGAACCTGGACCCAAGAGAACAGAGCCTTCACTCCATGAACTCACTGTCTTCCACATTGTCTTGCCCGGTATTTACCAACGAGCGCTTGGCATGTGCCAGGTACTGGAGGGGACAAGGTGCAGCACGACAGAGGCAGGGCACGGCTACTACAAAGTAAGCCCTGGGGAAAAGTTTGCTTACTGAAGAGTCCTTGAGCTACTGAGGCCCCAGGAGGGAAGCCAGGAGCAGATGAGAAAAAGAACGTGAAGATGCTTTATAAAGTAACAGGGTGAGCCAAGCGCACGGGGGCACATGGCTGTTTGGCCCCTGGGACTGCTCACCGCACACCTACGGCTGCCCCAGGACCCAGACGGCTCCACTCCTCCCCCTCCCACAGGGGCACTCGAGCTCCAATACTCTAGGTAACCACGCGCGACATCCACCTGCTGAAATTGAAATGAAGTAATGTTAAAAATTCAGTTGCTCTAACCATATCTCAAGTGCTCAGTAAACACACATGGCCCGTGGCCACCACACTGGACAAAGGCAGTAAAGAACATTCCCATCGTCGCGGAACGTTGCACTGGAAGCACTGACGTAGAGTGTGGGGTCTGGATTGTCACCGCTGTGTCCCAGACCCACAGCAGTGCCCCGGGTGGACACACTGTGTAGCTGGTTGAATCGATGACTAAATGGCTGCTCAACGTTTCTTAAATGCTCACGCAATGCCGGGATGGGGCAGTTTCCCACGTCCGGAGCTCTGCTTTTCCTTGTTCTTGAGTTGGCTTCATTAAATTATATTTTTCTGGGAAATTGCGTGTCTCTTCTGAGTATTCAGAATTACTGGCACAAGACTTCACCATGTTCTAATTCTAATTCTAGAATTCTAATTCACTATGAATTCTAATTCACTGTGTTCTACACTATGTTGTAATTCACACGCTGGGCCGCGTCTCTTAGCGCGTGCTGCTGTCCATTTCCGCCGCCTCTCCCGGCTCTCCCGGCCGCCCTTGCCACGAGGGCGTGCCCTCCTAGTGATAGTTTACAAGAACAAGTTTGGGCTCTGTCGGTCTCTCGTTTCTTCATTTTCTATTTTATTAATTTCTGTTTTTATTTTTATTAATCTTACTCCTAGGCCTTCTCTGGATTCACTTTGTTGTTCTTTCTCTAACTTCTTGAGTTGAAAGTTAGCCATTTCCCATCTTCCTTCTAAATCTTGTGCCTATATGTCTACATGTTTTGTTATGGAGTCATTTTATTGTAAGTCTCTAAATTCCAAATATTTAAAAATTCTCACCACTGATTTCTTCTTTGGCCCAATAATTATCGAGAAGTGTTTTTAAATTTCCAATGATACTAAAACATGCTTATCAAAACATATATTTTTTTCCAATTCTAAGATAGTGCATGCACTTATATTTTGATGTGAAAATACCTGATTTCTACTGGTGACAAAGTCACTACTGTCACCATACTACTGTGGTTTGCTGCCTACGTTTGCAAGCAAAGAATACTCCAAGTCTCAATCAGACACCAGTGAAAGTGAACACAATGTGCATTTCCATCCAATTGCAGACTTGCTGAATTCTATCCACAGACCCTCAGGGCGCAACGTAGATCAAAAGTAGTGTAAATTTTGAAGCCAACTCGGGTAAGCACCAGCATGCCCCTGGTTTTGAATATTGAGAAAGGACTTAAAAATATATGACAAGCTTCTTTGTCATGTCACTGTAAAAGTGGATGACTTTTTTCTAATATAGCCTTTCTCTGACAATCCAAAATTTTAAGAGTCCCTACTCCCAGGGACCTAACATTCTTGTTCTCCCGTCTTTGGGTGGATAGAAACCTAAGCCTCTACCCTCAGGAGTCTGCCAACTGGACCAGATCTGGCTGGGTCTGTTTTTGTACAACATGTGAGCTAGGAATGGTTTGTATATTTTTTGACAGTTGTCAAAAAAGTAAAAGAATGAGATGTGACACACTGTCCGTGGTCTGCACAGGATAAGCCATTTGTCAACTGGCCTTTTGCAGTGGTTGGCCGGCTCCTGCTCTACATCACAATGACTGATAACGACCCAGCTGCAGGATGAGTTGGTTCACTTAGGTTCTGGTTTTCGATTCTCTCTTCATTTCTTTCATCTGGGGATTTCCTTTCTTCCTTGTAAATCCAGCTATGCATTACTATGTGAGGGTTTTACCTAGTATTTCAGGATGCTTGCAGTGAGAAGGGGGGGTGTGTGTGAGAAAGAGAATATTATCTTAGTCCATCTTGCTGAGAGAGAGAGAGAGAGAGAGAGAGAGAGAGAGAGAGAGAGAGAGGGAGAGAGAGAGAGAAGATTATCTTAGTCCATTTTGTTGCCAGAACCAGTAGAACACATTTGCATTTCATTTATTTCTGCCTGCAAAAACATCTTCAGGTTGACCAAAAGCTCCACTCAGGCAGAAGTCCCCCTACTTCTTGGTTGTTCTGCTACACGTGTGGTGTTTGGTTGAAAACTTGTTCCTGGCCCCATGAAAGGTTTCTGCTGTGCAGCATCAGATGATGGGAGTGGAGGAGGCGGACACAGACTGGGCGGAGTGTGGGGCGATCATTGGCACTCCAGCCCCTGGGCTCCCCTAACACGAGGGGGAGACGCTGAGTTTTTGAGGCACTAGGGGGATGAGGAGGGGTGTTTTAGGAGCAGGTATTGCTCCTGAGGCTCAGGCAGGATCACAGTTTCGAGAGCACCTGAGGCTGAGCATCTCCGTGTGCAGCCAGGGCTTTTAGATCAAGAAGAGTAGAGGCCAATACAAGTGATCCTGAATTTTCAGAACAGGGTGATTATGAGAAGAGTGGAATAAGTGAGGAGAACAAAGAAATCAAGAACAACAATTGGCCAGGTGCAGTGGTTCACACCTGTGGTCCCAGCAGTCTGGGAGGCCAAGGTGGGAGGATTGGTGGGAGGATTGCTTGAGGCCAGGAGTTCAAAAGCAGCCTGGGCAATATAGCTTTTTTGTACAGTCCCCATCTGTATAAAATTTTTGTTTAAATTAGCCGGACTTAGTGGTGTACTCCTATAGTCCCAGCTACTCAGGAGGCTGGGCCAGGAGGATTTCTTGAGCCCAGAAGTTCAAGGCTGCAGCGAGCTACGATCAGGCCACTGCACTCTAGCCTGGGTGACAGAGAGAGATGCCGTCTTCTCCACCCCTCCCCCCAAAGAAACCAAACACATCTGGTTTTAGTTGATACACATCTAGCTTGAAATCCCAGGGAAGAGGCCTCACGGCCTCAGCAGTCCCCACCATCCCTGACTTGGAACCCTATAGTGAGGGGCTGCCTGGCCTCTCGCTTTCCTCAGTGCATTCGCCACAGCAGAGCTGGAGGAAGCTTTCTAGAATGTAAAGCAGACCAGTCACCTCCTGGCTTAAAATGGTCTGGTGGCTTAAACTGAGATCCAAACCCGGGGGCACAGGAGGCCCTGCAGCCATGCTCTGTGCCCCGTGCTCCAGCCATCCTGGGCTGCTTCCGTGCGTCCAATATGCCACACTCCTCCTGCCACCCGGCCTGCACATACAGGCGCTCCTTTCCACCCGAGAGCACCCCTCTCTTTGTCTACTTAATCTTCCCAAACTCAGCATCAGGGTCACTTCCTTAAGGAACGATTTTGTGCCCTCTGGTTAGCTGTGTGCTCTTTGCCCCTCTGTCCCCATGGTAACCCTCACTAACTCATCAGTTAGGTCTCAGGTGTTGCCTGTCTCCTCCCCGCATGTCAGCGTCCACAGCAGGGACTGTGCCTTCTTGTTCACTGCCACGTCCCCAGGACCTGGGACAGAGCCTGGGACACAAACGGGGCATGAGGTACATATTTAGAGTAAATGAGTAAGTGCACCGAATTTCTGGAAGGGACAAGAAGAAACAATAGACATAGAAGGAGTGGTCAACAGGGAGGGAGGGCTGAGAAAATATGTCAAGGAGGCCAATTAATGAGAAAATTCAAAAAATGGTATCTACCAACAGATAACTGCAGAGATACCAAGAAGACAGAGAAAAGCTCCCGGGTGGCAGAGACCTGTAATAGCACAGTTTTAGCAGAATAGTGGGTGGGCCTTTGGAACTATTATTAATACAGCCATTCTTTTTCAAGCTGCTAATTTTTCTATCACAGAAGCTGTGAATTAGACAAACTGTGCCACAGTAAAGGCATGACAGCGTACACAGCACCTATGAAAAATAAAAATGCACTTCGGCGGCTGACACCTTAGGCGGTGAGCTAATAAGACGTGATAAATTGGGTTCTTGTCCAGAGATGAAAACGAGGACTTTAAGAGCAATGACAAATAAGGCTTTTACATTTTAACCCTTTCACAGCAAACAGCAGTCCTCTCGGAGGAGATTTTCAACAGGCTTAAGTAAACGGGTGTGTACCACGGGTCAACTGAGGAGGTCGTTTTAAGTTGGTGGGTGACAGTGATAAGCAAAAGTCCACTGCGGCCTTTTGGGTTCTTTTGGCCAAAGTGGAGGTATCTGTCTGCCTTATCGCTGCAGCCTGTCTCTGTAAGCAGTGCGGCTTTCTTGCAATGTGATCACAGCTCTGGCACCTTTCGGAATGGAGTCTCTCTCCTCGGAAGGATGTTTCAGAGAGAGTGACCAAGGACCTTTTTAAAGCCAGGGAAAGCTAAGGACACTGTACACAGGATATTCATGCACTCCAGGTTTTGTAGGAATGCTGTGGGTACACTGCCTTGCTTAATCCTCATCTCTGCTCTATGCGTTAAGGAAGTGAGGTTCCAGAAGGTTCTCTCTCCTACCCAATGCCTACAGCCGGTAAGAGGAGGAGCTAGAGTTGGGATTCAGGTGGGGCAGACCCCACAGCCCATGTACTTAACCCCTCCCTGCACCCCCAGAGCCTGTCTAGACTCACAACAGAGTGTGGGGTTGATTGGGGAGGGAGGCCCAGACTCCTTGGGAGGCTGAAAAACCGGGAAAAAGAGTTTGTTCTTTTTTAATCCCCTTTCTCTCCCTCCCTCCTTCCCTTCCTTAATGTTTTATGGTGGAAAATGTTAAACACACACAAAAGCAGACAGCAGAGCACACTGAGCTGCGACGGAGCCATCACTCAGCTTTAACAAGGATCGGTTCCTGGCCAGTCTGGTTTTATGTCACCCTCACCTGCGCCCTGTCTCCAGTGCATTGTGTCGAAGCAAATCCCAGACATATTTCATGTACAACTATTTCAGTGAGTATCAGCAAAAGGCCCCATTTAGAGAGAACACCACCGCACATAACCACAGAAAGCCTGAGGTTTCCTGAAGACAGAGGGTAGGAAGAGCCTCCGTCCCACACCTCTGACGCAGGGACGTGCGTCCGTCTCAAGGATGCGGGAGGAACGTGAATCTTATTCAGTCACGTGTGAAAGAGAGAACTTCTTTCGCCTCAGAATTAGTGCTTAAACCCCAGGGGGTCTAGTCATCTATCCCCCAGCGAAGGAAATGTTTGACATTTCAGAACGAGGAAAGACAGTTGAACTTCTGGGAACCTGCCAACTTCTCAAACAATGGATGCTCTCTGCCCCGACCCCAGCACGGGACACCTGGCGACAATCCTGACTGCAGGGTCATCCCCTCCGCGCCTCACTCAGCTCCTGCCCCGGCCCTGCCGGCACCTGGCGAGGCGGATCCCCCCTCCCAGGGCTCAAGAGCCCCTTTCAGGGGCAGGCCCGGGATGCCAGAGTTACAAGGGTGGAAAAAAACGTCCATTTCCTTTGGTCAGTTTACCAGATGAGTATTACTCAACCACTTACAATATTTACAAGTCCAGCTCATGGCAATTAAAAAAAGACGTAAGAAAACAAACTCCTTTTTTTCAAACTGGGAAAGGATATTAAACACGGTCTCTCAGGAACAGGGCTGTGTTTTCTGAAGATTGTTCATCTGGAGGAATGGTCCATACTTTTTTCCAGTGGAACGCTGGAAACCGGCAAATGACAGCGGGGCCTGTGCTGCCAACACCTCTGCCACCGTGGGGTGTAGGTAACGGCGCCGAGCGCTGACTGACGTGGAGGGGACATGCAACGTGGAGTCTGGCTTTGCGTGGGGGGAGGGGGAGAGATCTCTGCACGGACGTGCCCAGTAGCTGTAGGGGACTGTGGGAGGGGAGCCCGATGGGCGAGGAGGGGGGAGGCAGGGAGGGCTGAAGGGCGATTTCATCTGGAAGTCTTTTTATCTGGTTTTGCCATGAAGAAAGCCATCCTGGCCTGCCACTAGGGTGGGTTATCTTGAACCCAAATGCATATTCTTATAGTCTGCCTTGCATTTCATATTTCACAGGGCCAACAGGCAACCCCATGCAGCTAATAACCTTGAAAGATGAACGGAAGACACTTCGGAGTGACTCCCGTAGCTGGCTGTTTTGGGTTTTGTTTTTTCAGTTGTGCCCGTCAATAGGTGACATTTGCTTATGTATTAACCAGGTGGTTCTCGCTGATCAAACAGATTTTTAGCAGCAGACTCCTGAGCGGAGGTGGGGAACGAGCAGGAGAAGAGACAAAACTGGAATATTTGTTTTCAAAAGTTCATGTAAATGTTCCCTTTAATCCCATGACTGGGCAAATAAGCTAAGAAAAGAGTAGATGCTGCGCAGAGAAGGTGAACGGATTTACATTCTGACTTTCAGATGTGACGACTGGAGAATGGCAGCTGCCCTGGCGGTCCCTGCCTAGACCTGCCCACTCCGGGGCTGCGTGTGTTCCGCTGGGGCCACCAGCTGCGGACACTACAGCCTTCCTGCCACTGGCCAGGCCGCTCAGCCGGGCTGGGGGAAACCTCCCTGCCTCTGACCTCACCCCTCTTGAATCTATCTCACCACCCCACAGTTTCAATAACGCCTTCCTTAAAACACTGGCAAAAGTCTTCTCCAGTTTCTCAGTTTTGTTCTTAGCCTGGCATCCAACCCATCTCTGAAGCTTTCCTTTTTCTGTTCATGGATCAACATCCCTCTGCAGTGCCAGGGGTTGCCTCTGTGTCCCCAACAGACCTTACATTCTCTGCCCAGTCCCCTCTGCGTGCAGCCCCGGCCCACCCCAGGGCTCGGCTCAGACTCCACTTCCCCATGACGACTGCTCAGCCCACAGAGATCCTGCCTCCCAGGGGCCGGAAAGCGTTTACAGCAAGGTTGCTGCTCTTCAACCTTTAAGTTCTGTGACTGTCTTCCACCTTTAAGTTCTTAAATCATTTGATAACATTTCTTTCCTTAGGCCACTGCATCTCCAAAAACAGGGATCAGTCTGACGTGGTGGGAGGGGCATCGGCTTTACAGCCAGGGAAATCAGATCTGCCACTGACTAGCCATGACACTTGGGGACGGTTTCCTAACTCTCTGGAGCTTGGTTCCACCACCTATAAAACAAGACTGAAACATACTGCCTTCATGAGGCTTGTTGAGGGGATTCAGTGAGATAAAGCACATAAAACTTCTAGAACATAACTGACACTCAATAAATGGCAGCTCTGCTGACAATAATCCTCACTCCCTGTGTAGCCGCGGCCTGAGAAGGGTGCCTTGTGACGGCAGGTGCTCCCTCAATGTCCTGCCCCAGAGCCAGTCTCTCCGTTTAACAACAGAAATAAAATGTCATTTGCTCCAAAAGAGAAGGAAGAGGAGCAAAAACAGAGGAACACCTGGGTGGCATTTAGTGTAGCAACAGAGAGAGCAATTCTGGCCTCGGCCAGGCGGCGATGACGGGCGTCCAGGAAGGGTTGGAAGTTCAGAGCGGAATATCTGCAGCATCCGTTCCAGTTATTAGCGGCAGGAAGGGCAGACGCGCCGGCTGCAGCCAACAGGCGAGGGGTGTAGCCGAGTGGACGCCAGGTGAGCGAAGCTGTGAAAGACCCAGATGGAAAGGCCTGTGCGGAAGTGAGGGTCAGGGCAGGGGCATGCGCTGGGGACGGGGTCACGGGCCAGAGGAGGAGGTTAAAGCAAACCAAAAGGGGCACCCGGCACTGTCACACGCCCGGCTGCGAGGGAGAAGGGGTGGGGGAATCCGGGGCTGCGGGGGCCGGGTGGTCTGCCATGCTGCAGTAGTGGTGACAGTGATGGCGACAATGAAAATGGTAATAGTGTAACAAGAATAGGAGTCCAAAATAAGAGGAGTACTGTTATACACAAATTGTTTGCTGAGTTGTTTTGTTGTTGTTGTTGTTGTTTTGTTTTGTTTTGTTTTTGAGACAGGGTCTCACTCTGTCACCCAGGCTGGAGTGCAGTGGCACAATCATAGCTCACTGCAGCCTTGAACTCCTGGGCTCAAGTGATCCTCCTGCCTCAGCCTTCCAAGTACCAAGGACTATGGGCATGTGCCACCAAGCCCAGCTAATTTTGTAATTTTTTATAGAGATGGCAGGATCTCGTTATGTTGCCCAGTCTGGTTTTGAACTCCTGGGCTCAAGTGATCCTCCCTCCTCAACCTCCCAAAGCTCTGGGATGACAGATATGAGCCACTGCACTCAGCCAGAAAGTTTTCCAGTATTCAAATCCCATATTATTCTCACCGTAAGGCAATGAGACTAGGAGGGCAAGGATTTCCCCTAATTTATGGTAAGAAAACGGGACTCAGAGGAAAAGCTGGGTGAAGAGAAGAGCCCAGACTCCTGCGGCTGAGCCGCTCCGCACTCCCTGCAGAGAGCCCTCCGCAGGCGGCCGCCGGCAGCAGGACTGGCTCTGGGCAGACGGCCACGCTCCCCAGGAGGGAACATCAGGGGGCTCGGCCTCACTTGGGTAGCAGGGAGCTCAGGATGGGAGGAGGCAACCCAGGAGGCCACAGAAGTCCTGTGGGATGGAGGCAGCAAACCACAGATGGTGACACACAAGTTGACACAGTGTGACTCCTCAAAGGAATACATGACAAGGCAAAAAACTGGCCACCAAACAGTCTTAATTTTATCTCAGTTTTGTGTCAGGCTGACGGAATGCAGTGAACGGTCTCTGGCTTTGACAAGATGACGGTCCAGAGCACAGGCTAGCGGGAGGAAGGGGGACTCGCAGTCTGAGCCTGACTCCTTTCTGGCCCCTGTGGGCGAGCTCCCCAACACCCCTGCATCCCGGCTTCCTCGGGGGTCACCAGGGACAGCACACACATTTCCCAAGGCTGTGGGAGGGTTCCGTGACATTCCGTAGCAGCCTAGGGCCTGGCAGGAGGCCGGGGCTGACTAAACGTTGGCTGCATTCTTCCGAGAAGTGCCAGCTTCCTGAAGGTAAGAACTGTGGTCTTTTCTGAGGTGACTCTCCAGAGAGGCCAGGCCGGTGCCACTGAGTGTGTCTGGCTGGACTGGTGCAGAGGCACCGCCAGAAGACAGAGGCTCCTTCCTCCCCCGGCGACTCTGCCCCCCACTCCCGAGGGCCAAGCCACCATCTGGAGAGAATTCACCTCCGGGTCCCTGAGCTGGCGCCCGTCGCCACGCCATGCTGACAAGAGGTGACGCTCGGTGGAAACAGAACCGTGAAAGGAATCAACTCCACAGAGGAGGCAGCGACTGTGGGAACGAGTGGTGCAGAGAGACACATCTGGGGGCCAGAGAGCAGGAGCGTGCTCAGCAGGAAGCAGGAATCGGGTGAGAGTGACCTGGAAGGGGGGGGGGGTTGAAATGAGGGAAGAAAGCACTGGCCTAGAAACAGGAAATTAAAGGGAGTGAAGACCACGAGAGACAGGGCAGGGGAGCTGGACGGCAGCCGAGTGAAAGGCAGGCGGGTTCCAGGGTCTGGGGGCTGGGACCTTGGGCACAATCACCTGGCCGGGCGTCAGGTGGCTGTGGAGCAGCAGTCACAGCCACGAGGCCACAGTGAGGCCGAGAGTCGGTCATGGAGACCCCATGTGAGAACTCATGTCACCGGCCAGGGCCCATGAGGTCAGACTTGTCGGCTGAGCTGTCCCGATGCTGAACGGAGAATGACGCCCTGGATAGAATCTGCCCAAGAGAGTCCCCCACACCAGAACCGAACTCCATGGACGTCTGGTGAGTGCCCACTGCGCCAGCTCCAACGGGTGTGAAGATGCACATTTGACTCTTTCTGGGTCTGCCGGTCTCATGAGAGAGGCAGACAGTCAACCCCATCCCCGCCTACCCCCCAAAATAAACATAAAACTGCAGATGATAACCATTCCTTAGAGGGAGTATGTAAAAACTCGCCATTATTGTCGCTTCCTGTACAGAAAGTGCTGAATAGTTTCTAGGCCCCATCCGTGTTCGTAAAGCGTTATTCATTTCCCTTCCCTGAAATAAGTTCAGCTCAGCAATCGCCACAAGTCAACAGCAGAATTCAGTCGTAAACAGGCAATCCTTCACATCAACAATCCAAAGCAGCATATTATGAGTTGTCAAGTCAATAATTTAATGTTGATTCTCTGGTGCATCAATATTTGCTAAGAAACATCCCCTCACTGTGCCGCGTGTTACCCCTGGGAGTGCGAATCTGTCTGGAGTCTGGCAGAAATTCAAGTGTTGTTGAGAAGACAGTCAGGAACTCTGTTACGGATATCTTGTTTTGACAATTCCCTCTGGACTGTCAAAAGATCTCTGGATATTCCAGTCAGGCTATAGATTCACCGTTACAAACCCCTTCATGGGTCCTGTTTGGTCCGGGATACATCACCTGGCACCAATTAGGGACACCTGGCAAGGGGACACAGGGCACTGCTGCAAAGTTCTAACTCAGGTGGAAAAAGGCAGGGCAGACACACAGCTGTCAAGATAATGCCCTGTCCATGCGTCAGATGCTTATCCATTTGGTTTGTTAAAAGCAAAGCATTTGACCAAGATGCAAAAGGCTTCTGGGTAGATCTGAACTGAGCCACTAAGTCCCAAACCCCAAAACAACATATTCCTGGGGTGGCCCAGTAGCCACGTCTTTTCGACTTGACCCTGCCAGCACAGACACAGCTGAGGTGACAGAGCCCACCGTGAGGCCAAGCAGGTCCTCTTCTCTAGGAATTGTGGATTTTGCGCAGAGCACAGCTGGGGCTGAGTCCAGCAATGGCAACACTGTAGAGGGGTGGGCCACAAACCCAGCCCGAAGGTCCCGGGCCTTGCCTTTGTTCTGCTTCTTCCCTAGACTTCATCGGCTCAATGATCGCTTCGATTCCCGCAAGTAACCCAACATCACTCAAATAAATTACATGTTTTTTAACCTAAATGATCCAAAGTCATTTCCTCTTACTTGCAACCAAGATCTTTTAGTAGCGAGATCACCAGCAAAAATAACTATTAGTCTCTAGTTATTTGGGAAAATATACAAGCAATGTGAGCGTGAGTTTGCCTTGCTAGTTTAGTCTTGAAAAGACAGCTCAAAGGCATTGCTCCCGAAGGGTCTTGTGTTGCATTTCCTCACTCTGAATGGGCCGGAGGTCCCAACAGAAATAGCTGTCATCATTAAGAGGCTTTCCCAGATACCAAACTCTCCTCTTTCACAATCACATACCCTATTCTTCTACAAGCACTCGCTGATTAGTGCTGTACACGTTGTCTTGAAGAGTCAAAGTGAAGAAGGGATGGGCTCTAGTTCTGGGGCAAGAGGTATTTGGATCAGGGCAGGAGAGCTCACCTTCTGGCAACACAGCTAACAAGAACACGTCGGAGAGGGCAAACGAGTCACTTAGAGCCCTCCACTGGGGATCCCTCCTTTCCTGGGGCACGCCACGTATGGGCCCATCACAGCCCCTGGCCCAGGTGAGTACACTGGCCGCCAAAGTGCTTCTAATGAGAGCTGTGTGCATCACCATTACTGGTGCTAAGTACCTCGTGCACACTTGGTATACATTATATACCTTACACACTGAGCCGCTCCATAAATGTTCACTCGACAAATAAAACAGAAGGTCCCCACTCCTGATGTGGTGTGGACAGCAAAAATAATACTGGCGACCTCTGTATTCTGCGTCTCAGTGGTGGCTTTTGATTTAACAGAGATTGGCTGAGCACCTACTGGCACTGTGCTTGACGCTGGGGATACGGCAACGACCAGCACAGACAAAAGTCTCTGTCCTCACCGAATGGGTGCTCTAGTGTGTGTCTGTTTGGGAGTGGGGGTGGGGTGTGCGCAGTGTGTGAAGACAAAAACCAAAATTAGTAAACGATGTAGTGTACCAGAAGGTGGTAAGTGCTACAAAGAAAAGTCCAGCGTCTCTCATCTCACCGTATACCGTAGGTGGCGTCTCAAAAGCATCTATCCCCTTTCCCTCGGGGTCTAGAGGAATGGGGGGGAGGGCAGTGCTAATACTTTCCGAAAGCAGCCAACCTGCAGTGGGATTTGGAAACATATTGTGGGTAAGACGAGGGTGCCTTCCTCCATGGCATCAGGAAACTGCCATCCTGAAATGTTAATAATATGTAAGCTTAGAAATAACACATTACCAAAGTTTGTTGGAATGAAGGGTGATGTAATGACAACTGGAAACAGAAAGGGGACTTATTATGGAGTGTAGAAAAAGGAGAGTTGGAGAGGAAGAACTTGTCAATGGGCTCCAGCACTTTCCAGGACAGGGTACCCCAGCCAGCAAGCCGGCACCTGCCTGGCCTGTGGGCGCACGTGGGCTGTTCGGAAGCGAGAAGCAGGGCGCTGCTGCTCGGCCAGCAGCTCCTCCTCAGACGGCCCGTCCTGCCCGTCCTCCGCCCACACGGAAAGTGTGCTTCTTAAACTGATGGCTGCTGCCTGCACGAGGGGCCGCTTCACTTCATCATGGTGCTGGCTGAGAGCTGCGGAGTGCCGGCCACCAGCTGGTTGCTGAAACGGAGAGGAGGCCAGGTCGTGGTGGGAGAAGCAGGATGAAATAGCAGACACGCGATGTCACCAAAAGTGTGGAAAAATTCATGTCAATGTATTTCAGTAAAGTGGGGAGCGCTAGCACCCCTTCTGGTGCTCGGGTGGAGAGCCGCTCTGTTGTCCTGGAGGCCACATCTGCCCCCACCTCATCTCAGCATTCCTTTGGCCTCCAAGGTGACATGGACTATATATAACCAAGGGCCACGATGGGGAGGGCAGAAGAAAGATGACTGTTCATGGCTGTGGGAGAAAAGAAAAATAAGGGCTGGCGAGAGAGCGGCCAGACATGGGCCTTTCACTTTGAGCTGAGTCTTTTCCCAAGTAACCAGACCATTTGTCATAATTATTCAGTGTGGCTGTGAAGCCTGTCCCCATCGTTGAGGCAGAAAAATTGACTTTCCTGTGTTCCGAAGGTCACCCCTGCTTTCAAGTGGTCACCATTAAGTGGTCTTAAGCTCCCCGGCCCACTAACTCCCGGCAATGTGTGTCACTTCCCATGCAAAATGTATGTGACAGTATGACCACATGGGTGAACACAAGGTTCCCTCTTTGGGAAGCTGGATGGTATAACATACACACAACATAACTGAAGTGGCACCGTGGGGGGAGAAGTCAGACTGAACGCACTCAAATTATGGTTCTGTCATTTGAGTAAGGGACCCAATCCTCTAAGCCTAAAATCGGGAGAACAATAACCCTTGGCTCACAGGGTTGCCATGAAGACAAAATGAGATAAAATGCTTAGAGCCAAGCACACCACCTGGGACTGGCTACTATTCTTACCCACCGGAAACTGTACTTGCTACGACAGTGGCATTCACCATCATCGGTCTGTGCACACAGACACTCTGGTCCTTCCCATCTGTGGCCACCCTAAGTCTTCACTGCTGCCACACCCTCCCCGCTGCAGCCCCGCAGCAAGGGAGGGACTCTGAGGACGACTGCACCAGCCTCCTGCTCTTGGGCGTGACTGCTCTGGGCGCAACCAAATATGGCTGCCGGACTGTTCTTGAAAACCTTCTCCCACTCACTCTACGAAGATTCTATCATGAAAATGGACTTTGAAATTTATGCCCGCACAAAATTCTCCAACAGCCTGTAAGCTTATATGTATAAAAAATACCTAAGTTAAGAGCACTTCAATAAAATAGCATTCGCATTTGCTCTACCAGAGGGGGTGTGAATCTTCTACCCAGATTGTCCTGGATGCAGCACTCCTCTCCAGGCCTTGGAACTCTAATTTAGCGACATTGTTGCAGTGAGACCCTTACTAGCAGGGATGGGGTGCACACTCCCCCCAGCACACTGGTCAACTGCTAACTTTTCACTAGTAGCAGGATGAGAGCCATTGGAGTTGTGAGTTCTGTGGGCACCAAGATTGGTGAAGTGAGAGCAAAAAAGAGATTTCTAAGATGCTTCACTCTGGATCATGGGAAAAGGGCCTCTTACCAAAAGCAGCATCGAGATTTACGGCTCCATCTAGGAAATGCACAGGAGCACCAGGGACGGCCAGGCTGCAGAGCTCTCACACCAAGCACGTGGCGCGAATACAGGCACATTCACACTGTGGAGTGAAGGAGCCTACTCCTTCCTCATGAGGGATGCTGCTACAATTATGTCACCTCCATTCAGTAGTACTACCCTCAAACGCTGTCACCTCCATTCAGTGCTATCCTCAAATGCTTTTCGCCACCCCCAAAGAGATTATCTGAGGATCTATAAAAAATCAGGCTTTTGCAAAGGGAGGCTGCCACTTTCGGAGTTTGCTGTCAGTGTAACAGCAAATGGTTGGTCTCCCTAAGTGAAAACTTCGAGTGGGAACTGGTGCCCTTCAACCCCTGTGCTGCTCTGTGACACAGGCCTGCAGACATCAGGAGCAGATTCAACAATGCCACCGCTGACTGAATGCCACCGCTGAAAATGAATGGACAAGGTCCCAGGCCAATAATTCTAGACATATGGTTAGCCTAAAAACTGTTGAGCAAGGAGGATGCTATTGGCAAGAAGGACAAATAGAAGTATTTGAGGCCCAAGGAGTCACTGTGGTAGAGCTGAAAGATTGGGAAAGAGCTCCATGTGAGGGAACCAGCCTGGAGTGTAGCTTAAATCACTTCTGAGGATAAGGCAACTGAGGCAGAAGTCTTCCTCTCCCTTGCACTTTAGGTGCTCAAGTGCAAGGGGCTCAAACAGACCATAAAGATGCAGCCCTAGAAAAAGGCAGATTGATGGCCACAGCTGAGTGTCATGGGTCACACATTAGCATATTGGAGCCTATACCGGGGATTTGTCTATCACATACCACACAGAGAACACAAAATATCTGCCTTTCCAATGTGTGCTGCTAGTGCAAATAATAAAAGGTGTTTGAGGATAATATTAAAATGATGTCATCACCTTCTGCTTATCCACTCTTCTGGAAAAAAGTAGGATAGACAATCCAAAAGGTCAGATTTGGCTTTGCAATATTTGCTGGCTTACATTAAACATGGTCTGTCAGATATTTCAGAAGTCGTTTCAAAGCAAAATAAAAAAGTAGAATTATGACACGTTCCCAATGAAACGATCCAGTTTTCCCACCTTGGCCTCCCACTCTCAACATGCTACACACTCTCTCACACCTCTGTGCCTTGGCAGAAATCGTGCACGCTGCTTCAGGGCCCTCCGCCAGCTTCTCCGCACCCAGCACACCGGCACTGGCTTTAGGCCTCAGCTCAAAAATACTCCCTTCCCCAGGGATACCTTCCCTGCCCAAGCCCAAGGCAGTCTTAGGACTGTTTTTCCTATGCTTCTTCAGCATGCTAGACACGTAATTTATAGAAATTAATGTATTATTTGGTTAAACTAACAATTAATTGGGGTCCTCATACACCTTCCCTGCTAGTCTGTTCATTCTTTGAGATGACAAGCCATGTATTTCCATGTCTGTGTCCTCTCTCATGCTTAGTACAAAGGTCATATAATACACAGACAACAGGTATGTGTGTTTTTGGTTGACTGAATAGCAGCTCATAGTTTAGAGTCAAATACTGCCTGGAATATTAAGTTATCAGTAGCATGGGCCAGGCATGGTTGGCTCATGGCCTGTAATCCTAGCACTTTGGGAGGCTGAGGAAGGAGGATTGCTCAAGGCCAGGAGTTTAAGACCAGCCTGAGCAAAAGCGAGACCCTATTTCAAAAAAAAAAAAAAAAAAAAAAAAAAAAAAAAAAAAATATATATATATATATATATATATTAGCTGGGCGTAGAGGCACATGCCTATAGTCCCAGCAACTCAGGAGGCTGAGGCAGGATGATTGCTCGAGCCCAGGAGTCTGAGGTTGCAGTGAACTATGATGACACCACAGTACTCTAGCCCAGGCAACAGAGTGAAATCTTGTCTCAAAAAAAAAAAAAAAAAAAATTTCAGAATCAGCAGTATGGATTTCAAATGATTTTCTTACTCAGCAGTAGTTAATGTGGGGATACTCTAGCAGCTATAAGAGCACCTGGCACATAGTAAGTGCTCAATAAATATGTGTTAAATGAATGAATGAATGAAAGTGTATAAACTATGAATAAAACCGGCAATTAAGGAGTAGTGGTTTTAAAGAACTATAAAATGGTTCAAGTAAACTAAGTACAGTGGGCACTGCCAACTTCAAAATCAATATATTCCCCAGTAGTTGTTAGTCAGCTGAGTATAAAATTCTAGCATATAGTCTATTCTCACCTTTCAAATAAATGAAGAGTTATATTTTAGTGAAATGTTGGGATTCCACCAGATACTCATGGGTTTCTTTCTAGCAGAGATGATTTCGACTCAGAGTTTTCAGTGAAGGGACCCTTTTTATATTGAATCAAATAGCCTCAGTTCACGTTTCATTCCTTCCCTGTAACTTTTAATCACCCTCTATTAGAGGACATCTCTGAGAAGGAAGTTACCAAAAGTTACCTAACAATAGAAACGTTTGTGCTTAAAGCACTTCCATTCACATCCAGATGATGCGGGGACCAGGTGCACAGATCACCTAAGAGCTTGTCAGAAATGCAACTTAAGGGTCCCACCCAGGAACCTGTGTTTTAATGAGCCCTCTGTGTGATTCTTCTGGTGCTGACATTTGAGGACTCTGGTTTAGAGGTTAGGATCAAATGCTCACTGGAAGTTCTTCCCACCATACTATAAAACATCATCTGTCACCGTGACAGGAACAACTGTGGCTTTCTCTGGGCACCACACCAATACCGGGGCAGGGCTCCCCAGCCTAGAGGAGGCCACTGCGCAGTGACCGTGCCCGCCCATGAGGCACAGCCGGGAGTGACGTGGGGTGGCCCGGGGTGTGTCTGACACACACAACTCACGTGCTGCCACCATTTCCCCCACTCCCACACCATACCCCCTCAGCCTCATTTCCTCTTGACAAAGATCATTCTGTTCTGATGAAGTCTGCAAGGGCCACAGCAGCCGGCGTGGCCAAAAGACTGTTCTTGCTTGGAATAGAGAGAATCAAAGAATTATCTCTGCCAGATTGCTGGACTTTTCTATTTAGTATCAGGTTGACACAGATGGCCTCGGCTGCTAAGGAGCGCTGACTCCGTCTTCTTGCTCGCAGAAGCCTGAGTGAGGAAAGGCCCTAAGAGGAGAAGAGCCGGAGACGAGGACCACGTGGCAGGAAGAAGCTGGTGTGATTTCAGCTCTAAATGTGATCGCTGGATGCCAACAGGCCAGTGTGACATTTATTTCCCTGCATCAGGGGTCCTAGTCATGGACAATATATTTCCAAAGCACCCAAAGAACAAAAGTGCGGGAAAGGTGCAAAATAAGTGAAAAAGGAGGTGCTTTCTCATTCACACGTAGCTAGCCACAGCTGTCTGCCATAAAGGGGGTACCCCAAAGCTAGCGTGCTGGGGAGCTAGTTTTAAAGCACAGGCAGCCTCTCCGTTACTGACCTTCTCCAAGCAGAGAGTGAGGAAATGAGAGAAAGAACGTCTAATGATTAGTTCCTTATGGTCCTTACATTCTTGAAGTCTATTCTTTACCCCCGCTGGAACACTTCTGCATTCTTGATAGCAGGATTGCAATATAAGTTCTTTCCCTTCTGAGCACTGTCTTTTATTGACACACTAAAATATCCTAGGAGCAAGATTCGCCTTCCCACCTCCTTCCCCACTGCCACACTCGCCGCGCCATTCCTTGTTCTCTTTCTAAGAATGCAATAAACATTTCAGCACGATCTTTTCAATCCACATTATTTATAATATT